ATTCGTTAACTTCCGCCGTGTACTGCTCCTGTTGTTCGCTGTGTTGTGGCTAATCACACACAAACGAAGGGACGGTTCTATCTCGTTACGAAACGAAGCGAATTCCGTACAATGACCTGACACAGGTGCCCCCCCTCCCCCCCCCCTCCATCCTTTACAGCAGCTCCGTACCCCTGAAAAATTAGCGCGCGGAGAGCGAACGGACGCAATGACCCGCGTTCTGTAAGGCGCTCGCATTTGTTAGAGAGGCGGGAAGAGGGTGGGCGGCGGGAGCCCGCGGGACTTGGTGTTGCGGCCACACACCCCCCGGCATATACACTCTGGTCTGCTGTAAGTCTGGCGGGCGCAAAAGCCGCGAATTTCGACAACATCGGATGAAGAAAATCAGTGGTAGGCAGCGTTAACGTTTGACATCTATATCTTGGTATGATATGGATGTCACGGTTTTGTTTTTCGGTCTGTTTTCACGTTTGTATCCACGTGTTGGCATTTGCTTTGGCCGAATCGTATATACAAACAGATTTTCTTCTCTTTACAAATACTACAACTTTCTTATCAGACACGAGTATGACCGAGTATGACGTAGGTGCCAACTGCCAACTCCTTTGGACGGTATGAAGAGTAGTTCTCTGTAAGAAACTTACAGTGTGAGAAAATAAAAAGAATTTCTGCTGGCTTTGTCTTTAGCAAATGGTAGGAATAACATACTAACGAACTCGTGATTTCTCTCGACGCAGACATCTCTTGCCACTTTGAAAAATAGTACAAAGGTTTACAGGAAAATTTTCCTTGACACAAGTTGTAAAATTACCAGTTATAATCGTAAAAATACATGAAGTACGTATCGACTTATAATCCATTGGCGAGTAAAAAATGTGCTGTCGTAAATTTACAACTTATATTAGAATTCAAGTTTATAAAAAAAGATTACAGCGACATTTTCCACAGTATTGTGCCCCTTGCATCAGACCTGCAGATCAGAAAGGACCGTCTTCTGCCTGGGTTGTGCTGCGCTGATCTGTATCGGTATTTCGCTCCATCTCGCTGTGCACCAGGGTTGGCATAGAGAATTAAATGGTGCTAAATTGGGCGAAAAGGGGCAGAATGTAATACAGCTGGGGACACCTACCGACTACAAGACACTACTACAAAATTCGCAGTCGACGGCTTCCTGAGCGTGAGCTAGGTCGGGCATCGGCTGACGCACATGGCGATGTGGTGTGACGTGAAGTGCATTATTTTTTGACCGAATTTGACTCAATTTAGATTTAATTTAATACTCTATGCCAACCCTGCTGTGCACGCATGCATCGCGGCTTATCGACCCTCGCCTCCAGAAGCGGGCGGCCGCGAGCTGAGCCGGCTCGTGAGCCGCGCACCCCCGGCCCGCCGGCCCGGCCCGTCGCCCGTCGTCCAGGCGGGTGGACTTTCGTTATTTATGATTTCATTAGGCAGGCTGGGGAGATCGAAGCAGGGGGGAGGACGGCGGGGCTTTTTGTGGCGGCATAACGTCATGTCCAAAACAGTAATGCGAGTTTTTGCCGCTGCTTTATTCCGACGTCGCCAGTAAGTTGTTGTAAGGCGATCCTTGCTTGCTCGAGGGCTCGCGCGCTTGGCGACGACCCGGAGCTTGCCTACCTGCCTGGAAGTATGGAAGTAATCGCCGCAAACCCCCGAAATGACTGAGACAATTTTCACTTGCCCAATCAAAGTTCTAATTATATAATGTTCGCCGGATTTTCACTCTCATGGGTGAGATTTTTCTAACGTCGTCCAATTGTAGCGTGGAACCTCACTCACATTGGGCCAGGGCCGTAATTTATGACTCCAGGATAGTAGGATTTACGTCGTAAGATATCTGACTATTATTTACAGTACCCTCTAATGTTGGAAACCATACGCATGAAAACCAGGCAGAAGCACTGGCTTTTACCGTTCATGCCTCACCTAGTAAGCAGACAACCAGTTCCCTAACGCTCTGTCTTCTCCGCAGCCACCTGACGCGGTCCTCCTCGTGGCTGCCACCCCCGGAAGCATGGACGTACGCAGGAGGTGACCTCCCCTTTGGTTGGGAACAGGCTGTGGATGCCAATGGCCAGCCTTACTACATCAAGTAAGTGACAAGCCTTTTGTGATATATGCTCCTATAGATTAGGTTCAGAAGGTAATAGCTGTACATACACAAACATGCTTCATCTACTGTGAATATTTTCTTCACTTTCTTAGATAAAATGTGTATCATATTCGATTCTACTTGAAAGGTTAATT